CGTGGTGCCAGCACTGGATGGTGGGGTCCGTGGGCGACTAGATGGATCGCTCTTTGATTTGGGCGCCTCTTTAATGACTGGCACCGTTGAACGTACTGCATCGCCAGCAGGTAGCCGTGGTTTGGCTGGTTGCAGCGTCTGACGGGATTGCTGACTCTTGGCAGCCGACAATTTGGCCTTGACAGTCTTCCTTTCGGCCTTGACAATCGATTTCTTCTTGGTAAGTTGTGCGAGCTTGGGTTTGACCTGGCCTTGGAACTTGTTCAAGGATTTGGGTTTGCTCAGGGTTGCGGGACGGACTTTCGCTGGGCTTTTCCTTTTCAACTGACTCTTGGGTGGAGGCGGAGGCTTGCTTTTGATCAGCTGCTTGCTCTTGATTTGAATAATCGGCTTGGACATTTCGACCACAATGTCTCTGGGACGGCCGCCTGGTCGCAGATGATTCTTGTCAATGCTGACGCCAGTGAGGCTCTTCTCCGGCTTATCGCCCACCGCCAGCTTGTATGTGAGGGAGCGGGAACCGGAGGGAGAGCGCTGCATTTTATTCTTGGCCCGCATGCGCTTCTGGCGTAGCATCTCGTCGAATGCTTCTTTGGAGTGTGTGATCTGCTTGGTCATATCAATGCGTTCTGGCTTCACGTAGAACATGTGTCCATTGTAGTCACCAACATGGCCCTGGCCATGGCACTCCGATATGACGCGAGCTACCACGCGTTTCATTTCCGTTCGATTTAGGGACAATTGATTGGCCAGATTCTTGGCCAGTGCCTTCAGAGCGCCTCCAGTGCCAGCCATTTGAGATGAACTCCATATATTCGTGTTCATTTTCTTAGTTTCTGTGAATTTGGCTATTTTATCTGCGCGTTATGTGAAAAACCCAAAGTGAAATTTGCTTTCAATCCCAAAATACTTTAATAATACTACTAGCAATTTTTATCTATTTTTTTGGTGTGACATAATAATAAGCTGAAAATAAATGTGCCTAGAATTCCTGTTAAAAAGGCTTCAACACAAATGACTTTTGTGCAAAACTACGCCTACTTTGATTGCAAGCTTGCCCGAGGGAGGGAGGCGGTACGATTTGCTAAACAATAAATATCAAGAGGCTACTATACTATAATTAGCAGTAAGTAAATTAATAATTATAACAATAAATGAAAAGAAATCAACATATCTGCTCATTTCTGATTAAATACCAATTAAATATCGAGTTTAATTTATATTCACTTCACTTATTATTAGTATGATAATTATAGTTAATATAACATGATAATTAATATAATAATTATTTGGATGCGTTCGCGTTAATGGGTTACCCATACAATAAAAATATCTTTTTTATATACATTTTTTTTTGCGCTGGAATCGATCACTGCCTTCTGATCTTTAGCAAACGAAGGACTAGGATATGGTTATAGTTACCACTAGGTAGCTTAATTGATATAATTATCCAAATGTTAGATTAAGTTTAACTTTTTTATTTTCAATGAGTAATTTATATTCTAATATATTTCAGAGAATATTGACCCAAATAAAAAATAGCTGGCTTGTTAGGTAAAACAAGAAGTCCTTCTGCTTCTGTCTCTCTCTCTCTCTCTCCCTCTCCCTCTCTCATCACCCACTCTCTCTCTCTCTCTCTGCTGTCTCAGCTGTCGCAGCTGCGCAATAGCCACGTGCGGATCGACCTCTGTGCTGTTATCAATGGGCTCAGGACTCAGATAGAAAGGACGGAACTGATCCTGGCTACAAAGAAAACTACTTACAAACAAGCCCACATGGACACCAAACAAAAACAACACACACACACACATGCACACATGCACAAAGTGGTCATAAGGAAGAAAAGTTATAAATGATTTCATTATAGCAATTCGAGGGTCATCAGCAGCCGGGGTCTCTGACTGTGTCTGGGTCAGGGTAGGGGCCCGCCTGCCTGCCTGTCTGTGCACTTGCAACATGCACCTGCACAACCTGTGGCACCTTGGGCAGGTGAAGGCAAAACGCGCAGCACGCTCGCCCTTTTTCAGGGGTGGGAAAAATGATTTACGCAATGAGCGGGACAGGCTCCTAAAGTTGCCCAGTTTCTGATGAGTCAAAGTGGAAGTCGAACTGGCACCCTTTAACCAAGTTCAATACGTCTTGCAGTAGCCCAGGCCTGTCTATGACATGCCCTGTCCAAGCTCTCCCCCCGCTCTATCGCTCTCGCTCTCGCTCTCACTCTTACTCTTTTTCTCCTGCTGCCCATCATATAAGACTCGTTTGGGCCACTTAACTGTAATTAGGGCTTTTCAATATTATTAATGATGATGGTCGCTCGGAACGCCGCTGAATATGTGGGAAATGCATAGCGAATTGATGATGACCCCGACGGCGCTGCAGACAACCAACAACCGACAATGGACAACCGACAATGGACAACCGACAATGGACAACCGACAACGGACAACGCAATGAATATAAAATGCTAAATGCAAAATGCAAACACGCAAACCGAAAGCGCAACAATTTTCGAACTGCAATTTTTGTGCAGCGCCGAGCTGCTTCGCTCTATTTGACTTTTGTTGTTGTTGCTACTGCTCTTGGTGGTGCTGGTGGTGGTGGTTTGTGGTCAACCATCCAACCATACGTTTTTAGCGTTATCAGTGCAAAATAATCTTTCAATCAGCCCTATAGAGCGACGTCGTCATCAGCCTCACAGTTGTTGCTGCTGCCGCCGCCGTTCAACGAAGTGTGACAACAATTGTTGCAGCCGCAACAGCAACAGCAACAACATCAACATCAACAGCAGCAGCAGCAGCAGCGCTGGCAGGATGAATAGCCATATATGTTATACATATATGCATGTATCCCACCTAAGTATATACATATGCTGGTAATGCAGATCATCAGCACAACAATAACTACAACAATTTCAATAACAATAGAACCTTTGGCTGGTCGATTGGCTTCATTTCTTTTTTTAGATGTTAGAAGTTCGGTCTGAATAGTCCTCTCTATCAGACTAGTTGTAGCTAACCATATGTATGCCGCATTTTATATGACACCTCTCTCCTGCATGGCCCGTGATGCAAATTTCAGCAGTTGATGTGGACACAAAAACATGATTTCATAGATGCGCATTTAATAAATATACCATATACTTTGTCATATACACATGGTTAAAACGAGCAAAATTAAAAACACTTTTCGGTTTAACTAATAACTCTTTAAGAAAAACTAGTAGATGGTTAAATTGTTTCTCATTTGTTTGAAAGTCTATTAGCCAAGATACTGTTGATTGCTTATTTATGATTAAATACTATAATTTATATTTAAATAGGCGGCTTGATCTAGTTTAAGTTAAGTCTGACAGATCCTATGCATTGGCAGCACTCAGTTCACAAATTCTATTTTTTATTCATTAGGCACAAATGCATAGAAATATAAATGATATAGGTAGGTCAGATAGATGTGCTATTCCTCGAGGATAACTATTAATAAATTAGATATTTTAGATAAATTAGTAAATCCAAAAAAATAAATTATAATTTAGACAGTTATTTAAAAAAGAGTTATCTATTCATTTAATTATTTATTTATTATTCATAAAATATTTATATAAATATTTAGTAAAAATTTATAAAACAAAAAAATAAGTAAATATTAAGAAAACAATACAAAAATATGTATAACGATTATTAATCTGATTATCTATTATTTATTGTAATTATTGACATTCTTATTATTACAATTTATTTTTTAAATTTTTATTTCTATAATTTATTATTATGTTCAATAATTTAAATAAAAATCAAATGTAATATCTAAAGCCTTATTAGTATTATTATTATTATTGTTTTTATTACAATTTGTATTATTATTTATAAGTAATTTTTATTACTCTTATTAATTATTATTATTTTCTATAATTTAAAGACAAATCAAATGTAATATCTTAAGCTTTACAGTTGAAAGGGTTTTCTTTACTAAATCTCATGCTAATGCCTTTCAATAACATCGCCCAAATTTTGACACAAGCTGAATGTAAAGCCAGTTACTTGAAAAAGGTCACAATGCGGGCAATTTTAAGAAATCTTTGGAGGCATTAGCATAGCTTGTGCCCAAGTTGAAGCTCTGCAATGTTGTCAATACCAATACATTGCCGAGTACTGCTCGTCCCCGCTCTCGGCGCACTCCGCATCCTTGCTGCTTGTGGCACAACATTTTTTCATGCATGCAACGAAACAACAGCGTTAAATTCCCCATGGAGAGTCAAAAGTCAGACTGTCAATGGGTAAGGGGTACAAAAAAGAAGAACGAAAGCCCAGCCAAACAAGTGGAAAGCAAAAAAAAAATAAAAAAAAAAATAATACGAAATAATAAAGAAACAGAAACAGAAACAACCTCATAATTTAACTCGGTAAACTTTTGCGCCTTTTGTTCGGCTGCTTTCACTACAAGTTATTGAAAATCGCGCAAGGGTTGCCAGCCCGCCGGAGTCGAAAGGGTTCGAAATTGAAAAAGAAAGCGCTCGCGTCAGGTGGCCACCCGCCAAAAGGGTGAAGTGGGCTCAGGGGCTGGTGGGATGGTAGGGTGGTGGGACTTCACCGGTTGATGGCGTCTCATTTGTGCCGGAGTGTGGGTGATTTAGTGTTAAATAAAAACTTTTAAATTGCCATTTGATCGTTTGTTTAGCGACAATAATGTCGTCGTTGTCGTTGTCATCGCCGGGCCCGACCCAGGGGCCGTCGCATGCCTTCAATTCCAGTGCGGGCCGCAGCCAGTGACAGGTTTATAGGTCGACTCAGTTCGCCTGCAAGTCGGCAGCGCCGTGACAATGACATTGTTTCGCCTGACAGTTGTAGCAAATTTATTGAAAAGGTGTTTCTTCGTTTTCGGTTTCCTATGTGTCTCTGTCTTGCCTTACAGAAATTGTCAAAAATTTATTGATATGTCGAAATTGCTTCTTGGCCTGCTCCCCCATAAAGAGGGGGAGAAATAAAAAAAAAAACACTGACAGCTCAATTTTTTTCTATCGAGCATTTTTATTTCTCCCATATTTTGGCTTTTTGTTCATCTCACTTCCTTTGGCCGCTTTCAGCGCCCGGCTCATTGTAGTAAATTTGACAGCAATTGTTTTGTTTGACAGTTTGTCGTCTCGGCAAAATGATGATGTCAATATGCAAAGCAGTCAAAGCAGCCATGGCCCAGAGAGCGTGCCCCATGAATTTGCATTTGGTATGTGGCACGCACAAAGGGGTGAACACGATTCCGGATGAGTTATTGAAGCGTTGCTCGCTCTTGGCAGCTGACAGGCTAGCTTTGATATGTGCCAGAGTTATCCTCAAAGGTTCTTGAACTGATCAATGTGGGTTTCATATGCAACAGGGCATCAGCTGGCAATTCAAGCACTCAGTTCATGCGGAAAACCCCATATTTACTGCAGGTCAGCAGGCTGAAATATCTTGAGTTTATTCCACATTCATTTCGTTAGAATCCACATATTCACATTATTCATAAAATACGTGTTTTTTTCCTGAAGTGCCCGCTAAGACTAAGAGGGCTTGCAATAATCCACTTGCTTGGGCAAGTGTATTGTATACGTGTTTCACGCTTTTCGAACAATCCGCGCCTCTGGGCATCAGCACAACTGTTAATATATTTTTTATATAGATATATATTTTTTATCCGATCGATTATTTCTGTGTGAATTACAAGTTGAAACGATTTACCGATAGAGAGGTGGAAATGGCAACTCACTTTAATATTACCGCAGGCGGAAAATGGGTGAAAACTCTAACATTTGAAAAAAAATACTGGAGTCCGATAACGCCAGGTAATATCCGTTAGCTATAAGCTGCCACCATGTGTTCCACGTATAATCCCTTATGGATCTGTTGAATAAAATCAATAAATATATATTATACTTACATATACACTCCAATCCGCGCCAAACTGCAATCCAAATAGCATTATCGACCAGTTTGCAACAAAATACGAATACGAGCCACTGTTGAATTTAAATGCAACAAAGCTGATCACGCAATAGAGTCCACATGCAATTTGCCATTGAACTTTGCGGGCACATATAACATCAGGTAACTCCAATTTGCTCTGAGATCTGAGCCCAAGCCTAACGACAACGCAATAACAGCCACCATTTTTTTAATTTTTATGTATGTGCTGAGTTTTGATTGTTATCCACAAATACACACACACACACACAAACACACACACACACACAGAGTTAGAGGCAGGCGCTGAGCCACAGCGATATTTTTTATGAGACTGTTTCGTTTTTCGCTTAATCGCACTAGAAAATCTCTAGAAATGGCAGAAGGAAGCAGAGAGAGAGAGAGAGAGAAAAAAAAATAAAAACAAAAAAAAAAATTGCCGAGCGTTCAACTTGAAAATATGCCAAAAGACAATTGGTCGTCGGTTGTTGGTTGTTGGTTGTCGGTTGTTGGTTGTCGGTCGCAACGTTAAGGGCATGGCCCAGGCCCAGGCCTAGACCCAGACCGAGGTCTATTCACTGTGTCTCAGTTTAAGACTCAGTCTAAGTTCTAGTTCCAGTTCGAGTCGCCGTCGCCGTCGCCAGAGTCTTTAAGTTTTCTTCAATGTTTAGCCAAGCGTGAATATTATTAGAGAGCGGAGGAGGCGCAGACGAAAGCCAAAAGCAGCAGCATTTATTAATAATTACCGCAGAGTGTTGGGCGGAGTGGATGTGGAACTGAACTGGGAGAGCTAGAAGTGGGCTCAGAGTACATACTCATAGTAAGAAATTTATTTGTTATTTATCTTTTTGGCATTATGCATGAATAACAATAAAAATATAAGTGAATGCTGCTGCTGCTGCGGCTGTTGTTGCTGGCATAAATAGTTAGCCAGAAATGCGGCAGCATAAAGCGTCATAAAAATTATAGCAAGCCATTCGCTTGTTGCCAGGTTCTCAGGTGGCGGCCAGCACCAGCAGAAGCTGCAGCAACAGCAGCGGCAGCAGAAGCAGCAGCAGCAGCAGCAGCTACGACTACAAGTGCTTTGGGTTGGCAGCGGGGACTGGGGGCTCTCTGGGAGTTCAGTCAATAGATTTAGATCACTTTTAGTGGAAACGCTGGGCACAAAGAGCCATAAAAATAATGAGCCCAGCACGACGATGGCGACAATCATGAGTAAATAAAGCAAAAATGTGGAGGAAACAGAGATAACAATAGCTGCAAAAAAGCCAAGAAATAAAGACAGAAGTATTTCAGTCCATTGTAAGTAATATTTAAGTGGAATATCAACTACTACCAACTACTGCTAAGAATACATTTGCTATCATAGATACAGGAACAGATTCAGATACAGCTTAATAAACAGACACAATTATAGATAGCTGCCGATACAAATACAAACATAGATACAGGTGGAATTAGGGTTATAAATATAGATACAATTATATTTACATATACAACTTGCCCAACTTTTACAGTAACAGATACAAACACACATATAGGGGTATTGCAAGATGCAGATACTTATATAGATATATAGATATAGATACACATATTAGTTCACAAGCAAACATAGGCAAACACAGATATTGATACAGATACATTTACATATACAGATATATATATATATATATATATATGCATATGCATACATATGCATATTCAAGTTTATTATAAATCCATAGAATATACACAGGATATACAGATACAAATTTATTCATAAAGAACCAATACATATACATTTGAAGACATTGATTCAGATACAGGTTCATATTAACATACAAGTACACATTAATTACAGATATAGATGCAAATACAGATTCTTAAAATGCTACAGATACAATACACATATATATAAATACAGATAGATAATACAGATAGATACAAAATTACAGATACAGATGCGACTTGCTAACTATGTGCAGTTGCAGATTTTGAATCTATGTTTAGCAAAAGTGGATTATTTTTTATAAAATTATTGATTGAAAACCATAGATACGGTTACAGCTTTCAAGCTATGCCTAGTGGCCGATGTAGATGGAGTTGGTGATGCTGCCCCCGAGTCACCCCCTTATTGACTTTACTTCAGGCCAAATCTTGTGGCTTTTGGACATTTGACAGACTCCATTATCAGCACTGTTTACATGTTTTTTTGGATTTTGTTTGATTGTGACTGTTGTGCGTTCTGTCTGAGATATTTGTTATTTGGTCGAGCGGGCGGGCAACTTACCAACTATTTGAACGAAATCACAATTTATTCTTGGAAATCAGCCTCATGGCTTTGGCATGCACTGCCACTAGCCCTGACACTGACTCCGCGACTGCGACTGCGACCGAGACTGCGACCGAGGCTGAGCCTGCGCCTAACAATCATCGCCCCCACTGGTACGGCATGCGTTGCTTTCCGAGCACAATACTATCTTATCGTCACAGCCCACATCAAAGCCAGAAATCTTTAACAGCACAACACAAAACACACACACACAAACACGGAGACACCCCCGCCCTGCGGCAGCCGCTATACACGCAAGCCTCGTCTGATAAAGTTCAAACAAAAGATTCGAGAAAAAAGAAAACAACAAAATACTCGCGCTTATCAAAAAGAACATGTGTACTTGCTTTGTGGATTTTGTAAGGGATCTTATTGTTCAGCGTAGAACTATTTGATATTTGCATAAGATCAACAGGTGCCCGCCCAGCAACGTGCAGCAATGTCGGAGGCATTTGAGCAATGCGACAACGTCAGCATCTAAAACTGTCAGCACTTGCTCAATGGCAACAGGGATGCGGATATGTCTGTGAGCGTGTGTGTGTGTGTGTACACACACATACGATAGTTTATCTGGGTACATAATACCCATAGGGCGGACATGCTGTGTATGACTTTCTCTTGCCGTCAATTGCCGTATTTTAATTGAGGACGGTTTATTTTTGTGTTATTAACAATTCTTTACATTAATATCAAACTAGTTCCGTATAAGTTCCACCAAGATTTTACAACAAAAAAGAATTTGTTGTAAGAATATTTCTCAGGTGATCAAGTATACCTTTCAGATCAATCACAATTAGTAAATAATATATTAGTAAATAATATATATTTTGCATTGAAACTAGTTCCACATAAGTTCCACAAGGACTTCACAGTGCACAAGAACTTAATTGAAAAGTATAGCTTGTACGATCGTGTGCCCTCTTAACTTGTGCACACTGATCAGTAAGAATAACCGAATATAATATTATGTTTGGAATTTATATTTAAAAGTATTTTAGCAGCCACATAGGTTCCATGCGCAGCAAACGAAATTTCCGCTGCAGATGGCGGATAGGATTTTGCAACTGTGGATCATATGTGGACTTTAGCGTTTTATTAGAGCAAATTTTTTAGCTTGTCTTTTTATTTACCACATAGCATCCACAAAAGCAAAGTACACAAATGGTTCTCCTTTATTAATTATTATTAATAAAACACTATTTATTCCCACATAGCATCAGCCAAATTAGGAAGATTTTGATTCCCTTGTCTTTTTCTCACATTCCACATAGAAGCACAACAGTAAGAGCCACAAATAGTTGAAAGGATCTCGCAACCGTGGAACTTATGTCGAATCTGAGCGTTTTATTGAAAGATAATCATTTCCCTTGTCTTTTCATTACAGTCCACATAGCATCCACAACAGTAAGGCACGCAAGCGGCATGGAAACCACAGCTTAAAGCAACTTGTAGGGAAGTTAATTTCTTACAGCACCGTTGCATTTGAGAAATTTCAATAATTGAGCCTCATTAAAAGTACTCGGTAATCGCAGTCGAATAAGGTATACATTCAAAAAGACGCACGCACACACACGCACAGTCAGTCGACGGAGCCAACACTTCCGATTATGAAATTTCGTTTGACAAAATGCCAGAAAAGTGTCGTTACAGCAATTGTTGTTGTTGTTGTTATTGTTGTTGTTGCTGCTGGCAAACAACGGTAATCATAACATGGAAATACGTACTGGTATCTATAATGTAATTACTGGCAGATCGAGGTGACTGCGGTAAAATTAACTGAACAACGTTGTTGGATTCATGCTGTTGAAATAAAAAAAAAAAATATACAAAAAATCAGGTAAAAATCCAAAACGATCGCAGCGACAGTCGAAGAAGCGTCAACGGAGACGCTGGCATCGGCGCAGGCGAAGGCGAAGGAGAAGTCGACGATGGCGACGACTCATTAAAACAATTTTAAAAAATAATACAAAATAATTACAATAAATTATGATTACGCTTGACAGTGACAGTGGCCACGAATGCTGATGGCTCTTGCCTGTTGGCTGGAAGTGTGTAGTTGGGCATGGCAAGCAGCAACACCAAGCAGCAACAGCAAGAGCAACAACAGCAACTGGGAAAGATACTTAGGCGACGACGTCTCGGTGTGGAGCGTCATCGTCGTCATTGTGCAGGTGCAAGTGAGCCGCGGCGTCACTGGCTAGTGACGATGAGCACAAAACAGTAACAACAACAACAACAACAACAACTACGACAACGACACCCAAGAATCGCTCAACTGTGGCCAAAAAGTTCGTTGTTCATTTGTGCGCTGCTTTGGCTTCATCTACTGCTGCTGCTGCTGTTTCTTCCTCTTCTGCAACTGCTTCTGCTTCACATTCACAATTTAATTCAATTCAATTTGGCCACAAAAATAATTACGACCTGTCCATGGCGACGCGCAGCGTGTGAGCCATCGCGACGCGGCTAACTGCTTGTATAGCGCCATCCAGCGGCGTTGACATGTACTAAGCACACACACACAACTGTCTGTCTGTGTGTGTGTGTGTTTGTGTGTGTGTGTGTGGGTGTGTGTGTGTGTGTGTGTGTGTGTGTGTTGTTCTTGTTGTGGGGGCGTTCTCATTGAAAACAAATCAGAATAAAACAGAAACCTTTAACAATCGAATAATTCAAGACGATAAAGGGAATTTATCAAAAGGCCATCAAAATCCAATTGAGGCTCCAGACAAGCAACAACAGCAACAAAAACAATAACAACCAGGGGCAGGGGCTGGCATGGATCGTGTATGGGCATTCATGGATCATCGCGGCAATCCGTCAGTCCGGTCGCATTGTGCGACTGTCGAATCTTGTCAAATGCACAACATAAAAATCTTTGTCGAATCGTTAAAAATGCATCATCATCAATTTTTGATGCATATTTAATGTACGTGGACGAGTCGAAGCTGTTGCCTGTTGGCTGTTGGCTGTTGCCTGCCCCAAAGTGTGGCGCATGTGACCGGTGTCGGCGCTCCACATTAACTGCAAAGTGCGACATAAAAATTGATTTAGTCGGCGAGTCGGACGAGTCGGCAAATGCCAAAGCAGAGCAGCAAATAGACATCTATATCATTTTTGGGATGCGGACATTATGGCTCAATTAGGGGCGTTCAATTGCCACACGACTTCGGCGGGCAGCAGAAGGGTGAGGAGTGGGCGAGACATTAGGCGGCATTCGGGTTTTGGATAAGGTGCAGAAGCACAGGATATCCTGGGCACGGCTTGTGTCGGCACACGCCCAAAGCCAACGGCACAGGCGGCACCTAGTTTCGGGCTGATTAGCGTCCTGGTGAGCCGCAGGCAACGTGCAACGTGCAACGCGCAACAAGTGCGTGCGAAATTTCACATGTCAACATGAAAATCCGACCGCAGATAAGCCATCGTCCGCCTTTCCCGGAAAAGTCCTTGTCGGCTGCTTTTGAATTTCTTGCAGCCGAGCAGTTGCAACTTCTTGTTACAATTTTCAGATAACCGGCAATTGATGCTAACTATTTGATATTTGCCCAAGCGCTCTCCTCGAGCGTGGTGCCCTGCGTGGTGCGGTGTCTGAGAGAGGCGGAGAGGCGCGTTTGGAATTTCCGGCTCATGCCCAATAAAAGCCAAGTCAGGCTAACTTTCATAAATTAGTCATTGAACTCAGCCAGCTGGCGAAATAGCAACAATAAACTAAATGCGAGCAACACTATAAACAACAACAACAACAACAACAGCAGCAGCAGACATTACTAATTTTTTTGTTATTGTGTGAACCTCGCACCAAAGCTTAAAACAATATACGCATAGGGTACTGGGAGATCTACATAATCATAATAGTCTCGAATTTACGCTTTAATAACTTTGCCATAAGCGCTACACGCTTTTCTCTGGGGCATATTGCAACACATTTCCAGCGGTGTGTTACATATCGAATTATTTGATATCCATAGATAAATTAAAATGAAAATAAGTATATATAAATGAAAGTAATTTAAATTATATATTTATTTATAGGTTTGAATAACTGGTCGAACACTTTTTGTAATATATAAAATAATTTAATAATAATTAATCATACTATTGATCATTTTTGGTTTCATATTCCAATAATTTCAATATTTTGGAACCTATCTGCGACATAATTTGCAATTTGATATAAACAAAAAAACAAATATAAATATATATGTATATATAGTTTGTCATATAATACATATGTGACAGATAATTAAACAATATTTGAATTAGAATATCTTTGGAAATATATCAAGAAACTATTTATAATATATTTTTAAGAATTTTTCACAGACCTGAATAAATTTATACAAATGTCAAAATTATTTTATATTTTCTTATATAATATTATTTTAAATTTTTTTATATTATATTATAATGTATTTTGTAACTGTCAACTGAGTCCCATATTTAAGCTATTTTTTACGGCATAAATTAAAAAAAAAATGCTTATTTAATTAATTTCTTCTTATTTGATAATTTGATACGCTTTAAAAGTATTTTTGCATACTTTCAGATCCCTAATTATTTAGCTCTTAAGCGGCTTCAACTTTTGGTTGGACTCCAAGCCCAAAACGCATGTCTGCTGATGTACAAAAAAGGTTTAATTTATGCAAAAAAATATTTAAAAAAATGAATAGTAATAATCAGAAAACGAAATTAAACGAATAAAAAACCTAATATGAATAAGCAAGTTCGTATTATAAATGCTTCAAAAGAAATTTAGGTTATGGGCCGCGGGTGGAAACGAGCCTGAACCAAGAGCCATTTCCCCATGTGTTTCCCATGAGCCACGCTAATTAGCCAAATACAAAAACCCAAAAAGCATTGGAATAACTTGCGTACACCCAAAATTTAACAATGAGCATAACGTTTGAAATTTGAAATTTGAAATTTTTATGCTTATTTTTATACGCGTAGATATATATTTTTGTTAATTCATATTAGGGGCATTCGTCCAGAAAACGAAATTCCAAAATGGCGCACCGTCTGGTGCCCAAAAGCAGGTGGAATGCGGACCCGGGCTGGAGACTTGCGAGCCGCACCATCGCC